TTGTTAAACTAAAAATTGTCTAGTAATTTCTGATAAACTGTGCTTTTTAAACTATGTTGTTTTTTTTTTTTTTTAATTAGGAAAGAAAGGTGGAAACGTGATCAGATGAAAACGTGATAAGCTGCCTGAATAGAATACGAAATTTAAGTTTCAGATGAAATCATTTAACCTTAAAATTAGGGTAGGAAAACAAATCTTGCTCTATTCCTTGATGGTGGCAGAGTTTCAAACTTTTCAGATCCAGTTACAGCTCTGGTTTCTGCTTCTACATGGGGACTTGTCAGCTGAAACTGAGCACATGTGATCAACAGAATTGAGGGATTGAACATGTCACCCCTAAGCATTTGTGACTCGTGAAGTACTATGACAGTTGACCAAGCTTTGGCCTCAGAGCGGAGGTTTATGGACGATTACATCCTCCGTTGCTCCTTACAGCCCTCAGCCAAAACTCCCTTTTCTTATGACAAATCTCGCTAGGATGCAGAACAGCAGTCAAGCCTGCTTGCTCCCAGGCTGTGCTGGGAGAGGGGCTATGAGCCAGCCAGGAGTGCACAGACAGACTCCCGAGAAATACAAATCCTAACAACGAAACGTGTACCCTAAGCATAGGCGCTCTCAACCCTGGAACGTAAGATGACTGGGTTTCCATGTACCGTAGCCAACAATCGAAAAGGGAGCAGGTTGCTCTAGGAAGGAAAGTTTTAGCAGGATCCTTTGTGGATTTTGCAAAAAGAGGTCTTGCATGGAGAGGCTGCACAGGTGATATCCAGTACACTGGAAGGACTTGGGGACGCACCAGCTGTGTGATCATTTGTCCCTCCCACATGCACTGGAGTCCTGTGTGTTGGGCATCAGGCACATAGAGGGCAGCCCTGTCCTGGGGGGTCTTAGCCCAGCAGAGAAGACAACTAAGGACAAGCATAGATGGATGCAACCTGTACCAACAGGGAGGTCACGGCAGAGACTGATGGAGGTGGGTGCATCTGCAGGCACCGGGGACAGGGAAGCGTCCCAGCAGGGAAGTTCTGCGCCGCACCCTACAGACAACAGGACCGCATCCCTACAGGCTAAGCCAGCTGGGGGCATGACGGGTGACAGACACGGAGTCCCTGAAGAGGCAGAAGCCGTGAGAAAGCCAGGGGCGTTCGGAGACATGCACACAAGTGTCCCATGAAGGCACCTTCCTCCTGGGAGGCAGGGCTAGTGCGAGGGCACGGGGCACACCTATATGGCCACACAAATCAGTATGACGACTGGATTTCTGAAAAGGGAAGAATGTGTAGACTTACCGTGAATTAATCACGTTATAAAATTTCCCATTTAGCCTAAGATGATCTGAGGGCCTCACACCAAACACAAATTAGCATCTTGACCATCATACAAAATTACTTGGTCCTTAGGTACTCAGTGAACATAATTATTTCCAAGGTATTTTGAAATGTGAAATAGTTAGAAACTTAACAAGTTTGTTTTCACCCCAGTTTTCTTTAAAGTGAAGTTAATGCAGCACATCATGAAGTTAGAGGATGGGGTTGTCACAGCGCGGGCATGTCTGGCTTTCGCCGTCTCAGCATGAAGGAACATATGGAGGTCACTGTTTGGTGATTCAACAGTGACCCACCTGGCTCTGGGTTAGTGTGAGTCCAGACAAGCACACACCAGAGTTGCTAAGTGTCTCCCTTAACGATAAAACACATTTTCAGCTACAACACAGGCAGGGCAATTCTGAGCACGTTTAGCACCCAGCACAGCCTGGGGACCCACCTTCCAAGGCCATATCCTAATTGGGACATGGCTGCCTGGGGCCAGGCCAGCTGGATGTCCCCGTGGCACTGCCTGGGTGCTGCCACGGGGACAGCCAACGTGGCCACGCTCTGGGATGTCACCTCCTTGAGTACTTCACAGAAGGCACGTCTTGTTTTTTCACACAGACCAGAAAACCAACCTTATATAATTGCAACACAAGAAAAAAACATAACCGTCCCTGAATCTGTAAGTTCCCAAAGGAGTGCAACTTCATAAACCTTTTAAAAACCATTCTTGCCAGGGATGTGTGCTGGACTATTTTTGGGTGAAATGACAGAAGCCTCAGATGTTTGCAAACAGCATGAAAAGGTGGGGGTGAGGACAGAAAAGCAGACTGTTGTCGTGTAGATAGGCGTGACGTGGGCCACACCGTGGCTCATTACCCTGTTCTCGCTACATGTGTGTACTTAAAAGTCTCCATAGTAAAAACATTAAAAGTACATAAATACTATTTTTATTTTAAAAAAAACCCCAAAACAAAGACTCCCTAGTCATGTTATCTTCCACCTGTGAGCAGAATCTCCTGACCTCAGAGGGTGGTGGTGACAACGTGCTCAGTGGTGACTGTCCTCTGCCTCAGTCTTACTGAATCTGCTCAGTCATGTTCTCAGACAACTTCCCCCAAAATTCTAAACGCAGCCCCTCAGAGAAGTTAACACAGCCAGGAAGTAACCGGGTAACAACCACGACAAACTCATATCGTTAGTACGTGGATAGACACCAGCTTAGGACACACGTCACTTCTCAGCTGGCACAGGAAAGGAAACATGCATGGGTGTGTTAAAGACCCTCTAATTCTCCCCTCCAAAAACAAAGAAAGAGGACAAAGATGACAGAAAATGAAAGGCCATCATCGGCTGCGCCACAGGCTAAGATAGAAAGCGTTTAGGTTTCCAGTTTTAGCAAAGATTCCTTAAATAGTATCATTGATCTGCTAGGAGTCCATGTTCCCGAAGATTTCAGCAACTCTTATGCGAGCCACAAGCGATGTTCTCAACAGAACCACTGCCGTCTCCCCAACTGTGACGTACTCATCTTCACCCAAATGCTGGACTATAAGAGAATAAATTGCAATCTCAAGTCTAAGTGGACTTCATAAACTTTTTCTAGGAAAACTGCAAATTATCTGGAAATCTAAATTAGAGCTTCCTGAAAACTTAGGAAGTTGCGGGAAACGCACACATAATGTTTATTACCAAACTGAATACCACCAAATTATCTCTCCTCTTCACTTTTGCTAAAGGCAAGAGCCTTTGTTAACATCCGCCATGGTTTGGTTCTCCAGCAGCTTTTATTGGTTACAGGATGTGGAATGATACATGTATCTGTGGTTTAATTAACAGGCTCATTTATGAAACAATGTGGCATTCATCTTATTTTTAAAATTCTTGCTTTTGAATAAACTTATGTGTTAGAACATGCTTCTATCCCATGCAAAAAGCTGTTCAGAAATGAGCAGCTTGCAAAGCTGTCATAAATGAGACACTGAATGAGACATTCTTCCAGCGAGGTTCATGTAGTTCCGTCTGAGAATTCGCTTCAGATCCTGACTTTTCAAAATAGAATATTCAAGGCATTAAAAAAAAGCAAATCTTCAAATATCTAAAAGAGATGCATACTGATATTATTATCCAAATAACTTCCCAGAGTTTGTGTGTGTCTCTGTGCTCTGTCGGTTAAACTAAAACAATGGAAGAAGCAGGTGGTGGCCTCGAACTGAAAGTTAATTAAATTCACCGATATGCAGCCAAAAAGTAACAGTGGAAGTGCTTGCACAAGGTGAAGAATGCTTTTAGACTTACATCAGACTGTGTTTAAACTAAAGGAAAGGCTCCGTTGTATATTCTCTGCATTGACATTTTAAAATAGAGCAAATCTTTATAATATAATATATATTATATAATACATCAGCACACCTTATGTGAATTAAAAACATGTTAACTGTAGTAAGGCATTTAAGTA